TATTTTCTACTCTCTAACCAAACACTAGAAATATTTTCGGAAAAAATTTTCCACTCACCAAATCAAACAAAGAAAAATAAGTAATAAAACCACTCATTTTCCATGGAAAACATTTTCTTTCGTACCAAACACACCCTCAATATTCGGAAGGCATCACTAAAATTGCTCATTTCTCCAATTTCCTATCTATTATTATCACGTTGTTGCATTTTTTTGAGTGATAGTCTTGTACAGTCTTCTTCATGCGAACTATCAAAATCCCTACTGCCATATGGTTCCTTACTTCAGCTCAAAATATATTTCCGGATTTTGAGCAAGTGCACCTAGCACCGATTCACATCTTCTTTCGCCATCTACATTTTGATAACATGATATCAAGTTTGCTTTCGGTTTTACCGACGCCACATGGCAAGTCACACATTTCACTCAACCCTTTTCCTTTTTTAATCCCTGTTGATAGAGCCATCAATACGGGCTTTTGGTCCGTTGGGCCAGCCCAGCCAGCCCGTGATTTAGTAGGACTGAACTAGAATTTTTGGAGCCCATTTAAAAATTAGATTTTTAAGCTCGGCCCGAGTAAGTTCTTGGCCCGTGAGGCTTGACTGAGGCTGGGCTGGACCGACCCGTGGGCCTAATAAAAATACGTATTTAAATATATAAAGTCTAATAAGTATATGACATAAAAAATAACAAGAAAAGTATCCCAAACTTAAAGTTTATTAAGCTCATCATATCAAAAGATCAAAGTCTTAAAACGCTAATTAGTTTTTAAAATGTAATTATTCTTAATATTTAACTAATTAATATTGCATACGACTTGTAGATATAGATGAACTGAAGATGTTAAGACAACCTTCTCACAAGCGGATTCAAATGTGTTTGAGGAAGATGATGTGTTGGATATCCCATAAGTGTCATGGACGTTCTGTTCAATAGTTTGTTTTGAGTTTTGACTTTTAGTAAATGAAATATGATTTTGTCTTTTACTTTTTTAGTGTTTACCGTAGTTACACTGGCCCGACCATAGAAAAATGGCGCCCCCAAAAAAAGGCTGCGGTCCAGATGGCATTATTGTGAAATATTAGAACAGTATAAAAAGTTATTAAGTTTTGTGAAATTTTTCTAATAAGATTTTTTTAACTTTTAAATATTTATCTTTTTTTAGGTTAGAACTTAAAAAAAAAATTAAAAATTATACTTTAAAAAATAATGGGCTGGCAAATGGGGGTCACAACCCACCTAGGACTGGGGTGGGCTGACCATTATAAGACCCATCAAAATGCTGGCTAGCCCAACCCAGCCCGTCAACTGCTAAAGCCCACATGGGATGGGATGGGCTGGGCTGGGCTGGGCCCGTCCCATATTGACAGCTCCAACCGTTGATCAACCTACACTGCCTGCTCTATTAACATAGACTCTGCAGACCAAATCGAAATCAATTTCATCCATAATTATGTTTCTCGGAAGTCGATCCTCCAAAAAAAAAATCGTTAGATCTTCCCAAAAATAGTGTAATTTTTATTGGGCCTGACAGAAGTGCGGCAGAATTTTTGGAATATCCGATCACTATAATCCATAAGTGGCACAAATTAACAAAGCAATTGAAACTGCAGCCGAAGTGGATAATTTACATTTGAGCCTATTCCATAATTCACGGAGCCCTATGTTAAAATTTTCAAAGGATCAGAATGGGATTAAAGTTACAAGAACAATTTTGACGTATCAAAACAATCAAATGCTACATATACGACACGTTTGGGAAATAATCATTTTACACAACCTATTAGAAGCACCATGACATTTCTCCCCCCACCGGCTCCGCAGTTGACGCCAATCTGACCCTTCCTTGCGTAAACCAAGTATATCCTATGGTATTGTGTCACCAAAATCATAGGAGTGGAATCAGAGACTAACTAGACAGAGACTACAAGTACATAAATCTAAAAGAAATAACTATGCAACAACAGGATACATAGAAGGAAAAAACAAAACTTGAAAAAAAATTACTTTGAAAGGAAAAGTACATTTGCCAACGAGTTGATTATTCCAGTATCCCTAAATAGCAAATCAACGATCCCAACCAGAAGGCCTCCGTCTTTCTCTAGACCTCTCTTTTGAACTGCAATGGTGAAAAAATAAAAGGAAAATGAGTTTGACAACGTTAATTAATTTAATGTTCATCTAGTTTCATTTACACTAGTTGATAAACCTGATAATAGATAAGGAAGGTATAGTCACCTCTCTGAACTCTTCTGGTCAGCTCCATCTCTAGCTGGCTGACTAGAAGAATATGCACCAGGTGTAGCAGCAGTAAATGTGGAACTAATACGGGAAGCATTACTTTCTCCACCTATTGTCCCACCAGAGACGAAGCCTTGTAAGACCATTCCCTTGTTCGGATACGCACCAGCTGTGTTATTCATCCCTTGATTTTGAGAATTTGATGATGCAGCAACAAAGTTACTTTTAAATTGTGCCATCATGCCTGTCCTCAGGGAATTAACTGCTGCAGAACGGCTTGGAGCAGCGTTCTGGGGAGGGTTATTTGATTCAGCATTGTATCCAATACCTAGACCAAAATCCACACCTCGTACACCCTTATTGCTTCCTCCTCCCCTTCCTTTCGCCCTTTTTCCACCTGAAAAAAAACAGCAACTTCTCATTAGTATTTTGGCTAGGCAATCAAGAATTTAAAGGAAATCCCATTTCTCTATTTTTAAGGGGG